GGCGAAGTCGTACCAGCATTGTGCTCGTGCTGATAAGCAGCACCCCTAACCCCCATCTGCCTCTGCAAAGTCCTTTATTCTACCTTTTTCGGCAAAGAAGCACCAATGTGCAGCTTACTCGGTAGTGAAAATGAGATGAAATGTACTCACGAGAAGCTTTCGGGGTTTTAGGAGAGTACACGCGAGACATATCTGTTGATGGCAAGCACCAATCCTTCGTGTAGATAAATCTTCCTCATTTGACCGTGAACTTCTAACCGATTCACATGCGTGGGTCTCTGCGTGATCATATCTGAATGTACATAGGATTTTTGTCAGTCTGTTATCAAAGACAGGATGTCCATTCCCTGAATCTACATGGTTCTCACGAAAAGCACATACTTATTTGTTTGTGTGATCATGGCCACGCTAGCCCCGAAAATGGTAATAACGGTTTCGATCCTCACAGCAGACAGCTGCGGTTCGGAGTTTTGTGAATATTTCAACATCACTACTGATAATGCAATCTATTTGAATGAAGAGCTTAACAATTGAATTATTCCTCTTGAAGTAAAGGTGCTAAAGCAAGGTGAAACATGTAAGAACAGTATCGAAGCAGATGGAATGATTACTGCTTTTACCCTTTCTTGAATTGGTGGAGCTGGTACTAGAAAGCCTGGAGTTTCTTAGACAGTGCAATATACTAGAGTAGAGTAGGGCAATATGGAAGAGTCCATTAAATGGACGAAAGTGCATCAGACAATGACGGGTACTTTTTTTCGAAAGAACTGCTTCACTATTATGATAGATGCAAAAAAACTGCAAATACCAAATAGAAATAGAAAGCTTACACAAGAAGACGCGGTCTGGAGAGATCTATACAAACACAGTTCAATTTCAAGTTTGTCAACATAATCAGTGCGCATTCGCTCTTTTCTGGAGTGTATTCTGTGAAATGTACAGTACTAAAATAAAGAGATATGTGGTTCTATATGGAACATCGAGCATCGAATATTTTTTGCCAAGTAGCGAATAGTATCTATAATAAAGCTGGAAAAACTATCGCTGAGACGGATTTTGTTTAGCCTCTTCCTGGATCCTCGATCTTATTGTAAACCTCCCAAACTACTTGTTTCTTCCTCTTTATTCGGTCAGGAAGCACTGACTTTTTTTTTAGTAAAGTTATTATCTGTGGAGATTTTCACAGACTGTAAACGATTACGTGTTCCCGCGTGTCGGACTGCGATGTACAGCAGAGGGTTTCATTCACCTGGCAGGGTGTCCCAACCTGAGAAGGAATTCGGCATTTCTATTAGGAAGCCCAGCCAAGAGTAAGCCAGTACCAGGATCCACCACCGTTCTGGTACCAGAGTTGCATGGTGGCAATTCTCCCTCGGCTCCACAAGGGCCGCGACTGCCCGTGGTGGTGAAGACCTGAAGCAGACTTTGACCTGGTGACCTCGGGATTCCAGGGAACCACAATGGCTTAACCAGCAAATCTCCGAAAATGGAGATTACGCTGGGGTCCGCAGAACCAGTGAGAACGGGCCGTTCAAGTATGAAGTATCAAATAAATGGCTAACAGTCCACTTTTAAATGAGACAAATCTACCATTACTTTGCTTATGCTCATGTGGCGAATTACATATTTCTATGTTGTTTCCAAAAACGGTGACTACTTGAAGAATCACCGGTGAAGCTTGATAATGGTGAAATGATATGAGGTTTAAACCTGACGTTTCGCCTGTGGTGGTGAAGACCTGAAGCAGTCTTTGACCTGGTGACATCGGGATTGAATGTGTATAAGCGCTAAGTTGAAATCGAGGGCTCGGTTATAAATATATTATTCATTTATGGTATATTTTTTCTATACAAGCAATGACAGCACGCCCTATTCTCAAACGAGCGTTTTGTTTGGTTGTCATTCATGAACAATGGGGTCAGCACTGTTGAAATGATCTAGTTGTCACCTATCGATATTACTTGCATGTCTTTTCATATCAGTCGTCAATAACGCTTCTAAGTTAGGGGTTCAGAGCTTTTAGCACTGAGTCTTCTTGATACATACCATTACTTTTATAATAATTCCCAATAATCCCCATGTATCATGACGATACGGTCATGTTTAAAATCTTTCATGCAGGTCTTAGTTTTTAATTGCTCATTGTTTTTTTCATAGCAGAATACTATTTAAAAAACAACATAAAGATGATGAGATATGAGCAAAACTCAAACCATCAGCTGGGCTTCGAACCCGCAATTGATCCTATCGGGAGCTTTCATGGAGGTCTTTAGGAGTGATTGCATAAAGAATGTGAACTCCATGAAACATGGTTGTTGAAGTCTTTCGGTCCAAATGTGTCCATAGCTTTTCCCTCAGCAAGTATTAGTTCATGTTGAGTACTTTAATTTCGGGATAATTCTTTTAGCTGATTTACAGGATTTATATGAGAATTTCTACAGAATTGGATCCGAAATAGCTACTGAACACGGTTTTCAGTCATAAAAGAGTAGGAGTTGTATATGATATGAGCTTGTGTATTCCTCGTTTGCTAACAGTCAGTAGCGCTACAGTTGCACAGTGCGTCCACTTCCTATCCTTGTCGGTTTATGGTCATACTGGCTATTTTTGGAGGAACTATACAGTACTCTTTTGAAATCACATTCTCTCTATTTCTTACACGGCATTCGGCTTTCACTAATCGTTCGTTGTTTTTCCTTCTAGAAATTTCATTCGATTCCATTTTACACTGTACTATTCATCCTGTTGTTCATTTTAACGAGGCTCCCAATTTGGTCACCTTTTTTCTTGTTACCGACCTTGTTCAAGAGTTAACTCCTATGTCTCAAAACTATATGGGTTCAGAACACAATCCACAGACATTTCTTGTGTTGGGCTTTGTAAGATGCAATTTTCCATACACTTCATTCTTGATGTAAAAACTATTATACGATGAATTTCTCCGTATTCGATTTCTTTGTGTGGTAATACAGTGACAACTACATGAGTCACAAGGAATTCATAAGAAGCTATAAATGGTTCGGACTTTTGATCGTCAACGAATAAGTCTCTAGTGTTTACGAACTTTATTAATTAAAATTGAAACAACTACAATTTGATGGTGTTTGGTAGAGAATCGAAGTCTTTCGCCACTGTCAAAATGATGTTCTAATTTCGATTAAGGTTTTGGGTGAATTCCTATACCTTTAGAGTGATGGAGTAGTTTCTTGCACAGATGTAGTCTTCGAACACTCCAGTTGTCGAGGAATTGTCAGCGAAAAATATTGCTAGGAACGAATCCTCCGCTTTTTAGATCACATTAGTTTGATTTTATGGTAGTAAATACATACCTTGTTAAGTTGACATAGCTATAAATGAGTGGTAAAATGTCAACGTGCGACTGAATCCTGCGGATACATTGCGAAGACTGGTCTACCTACGGGGCTATTGACCCAGTGCTGAGTGTAATAGGGCACAAACGTCTCTTGAGGTTGTTAATATGTCTGAGGACTATGGTCAGTTAATATTTGGATGTTTAGGACTTTAAAACTATCACAATAGAACAGCTTAGTATTTAGTGGTTCTTGATTAACTTTATTGAAGTTTTAAATTCAGAATGTCAAAAAGATATCAGAAAACAGGGCGCTTCTCGTTTTAGTAAAATCGCCCTTTCATTTTCTTTCATTGTGTTTGTATCACTACTTCTGTATGATAGTATCAGGAAAAACACGGTATTTGTTGGATTTCAATACCGCAAATGAGTGAGAAGTTTTAATCCACTTTTTGACTAATTCGCGGTTTTTGCTGAGGTTGACGCCAGTGTTTATTTTTACCTTATTTACTGTGATTACAAGGTAGTAGAGTAGAGTACAAAAATTGACGTACAGCGAAGATATTCATCTCAAATTTCCAGTTTTTTTCCGTTAGGTGTCTGTAACTTAGAACGAATGACAAGAGTTGAATAAATCGCGCATCTTGTAGTAGTCTAACGATCAGTTGTTCATTTCTACTGTTCAGTTTTTAATCTTTTCAATATGGATTCTTATTGCTCCAGACGATGCTTTTAGGCTGTTTGTTTTTTTTACACAAGTTACGCCAGTGATCCTAGGATATCAGTATTTCGATTGAGGCATCTCAAGCTGTTGTTCCAAATTCAGGAAACCTTATGGGGGTTTTAAATAGTAGGGCTTGTGTGACTTACCTTTTACTCACATGTTGAATAATTTTCCAAGCTCAGAAATCATTTTAGTTAAAACGTTTACTGTGGCATTTACCAGCTGTGAGACCTCTAGCCACAGGACGAGGTACGGTCGTCGCCGCCCATTCTCGCCCCACCCTCTTGAGTTAAGGTTACTACTGCGGTGTTCCTGCACTTACATTCATCCTGTAATGTTACTGAAACTGTTGTTAATATTGACGCCAGTTATTGACCGTTCAAGTTCATGGTGGTACGTTGGTTTTCCTCATACAAATTTGTTTTACTTTTGTGCTAAGGTTGTATTTTTTTCGTTGTATTTTTTACGCCAGCGATCTCGGGGAACTCCTTGTGGTCCTTTTGTTCGAATTTATCCTGTTGATCGATTTTAAGCCTAGAAAGCATGTACAAGCTTATTTCTCATGCAGATGTTTGGTTCCTATTGTTTGATTTTTGGATGACACTACCCGCTTACATGGGCATTGTTTCATTTCGGCCGGTTTGAAAAAACTTGTGAAACATTTGTACTTTCATGTTGCGCAAAAGTTCTATGGGAATTGGAAAGTTCAGGAAATAAATGCATTGGCTACTGAATATGTTTTACGATTGTATTGCAGTTATGCTTGAAGGTTTGTTAAAAAATCCATAGAGCTAAGAGCCATGGAAAAGCGTGATTAATTACTTACCATTTCCGTCTGTACTTCATTTGCTTATAATCATGTATCAACTAATGATAGTTATGAAATTCGATAAAACGTTATACATAGGTGCTATAGGAGCTGAGTAAGTACCAGATTTCTATCGCATTGTGTTTCTATTTCATGACATGACACAGAAGGCAATATTGGCTACGGATGACCGGTCTTCGTTGCCGGCATGTGCTAGAGAAGAAAGGTGGCTTTTATTCACTAAAATTTAATGGGGCATACAATGTAGAGAAACGTCGCTTGGCTAGTTGCAGTGGAAATCTTGTGGTTCCAATTTCACCTAACCCTAATATCCCATACATAAGAATGCAGCGCTGTATGAGATTTTTTAAACTTGTAATATCTCGATGTTGATGAGTTCCGATGTGACTTACTCTAGTTAAGATAAGCGGCTCAGAATGAAGTTGTGCATTTTCTGAGTTACATCACCAATGCTCGAATCAACTGTATTATCTGTGGTGTCCTCATCGTTGAGTTACTTGGGAGTTTTCTTCCTTAACAACAGCGCGAACAGTATAGCACATTTCGCCGGGCGATGTTTATTTTTACTGAATTTACTTGGTTGTAGATCGCGGTCTAATTCGAGATAGACTACATATTTACACAAACATGAACTCAGCTGAGATGCGGATAGGATCACATTTATGAAGAGAGTACGGTATCATGCTATATGGCGCAGCAGAGTGCGGATATTATGCTAGTCGAACTCCTGTTTGTATAAAAATTCCTTTCTTTAGCGACTTGTCTAGCGGTGGCAACGCAGTTATACGTATTTACTGCCTGTGTGGTTCTGAAATTTCTCTGGAGATTATATACTTTGCCTGCTTTGGCCTATTCTCATTCCGTCTCTTAAATAACTGGCAAATTCAATGGTGGCACGTGTAGCGCACTGGTTGGAGGCGCACTGCAATACGCATGCGATCGATCCTCACATCCCAGGCCCATCAGTACCCCAATCCTTCCCGGGCCGGTAAATTTGTACCAGACTTGTCTATGAAGATAGTATCACTGGGTCGATACATCGATATGGCACCACGAGTCATTGTAAACGAAGATATGCATTCAATCACCCTCAACGATGCTTAAGGTTATGGCGCATCCCTTTGGAATTGACCAAAGCTGAGAGCGTCTCTTAAATCATATTCAATAGTTTTGCACCCTACTTCATTGATAAGCTAACACGGTATTATTACCAAACATTTGTTCGGCTGGCGTTTCGACATCTTCGTCGTCGTATCGAATTCTTCAGTGGAGCATCGCTCGAATAACACAACCTTACTCGGCAATGCTCTTTTATGCAGGATGGTTTTAGCTGAAAGTGATTGTTTGGTGATAATAACTTGTTTTTCAACAGAAAGTAGTTCAATAGTTGTTTCCATAATTGGGTGTTATGCGATAGAAATGCTCAACATACAGTAATTTGTTTCGTTGAAGTGCTAACACGAGGTTGACAAAGTGAACTTTATTCCTCTGAGGAAGAAGAAGACGTTGAAACGTTGGCCAAATTAAGTTTGTTTTATCAACCTTGTGTTATCTAATTAATAAGAAAACACAGTGACCATTCACTTCCAGGCTAAAAGAAATACCATTTGTAACGTCTAAATCATTTATTATAGTACCAAATGCAGCACTGTTTTTAACCGTCCGTGCCAAAAATTGTGAGTTTAAAACCCCAAGTTAATATTTGTCAAGTATTGACGCCTCTTCTGTGAGGCTCATCCATGTGTGTTCGATGCATCTGTTGCTATAGTACTTTATGCAGCCACCGAGTATTTCTCAAAACCATGAATGAAAACCGTAAAGTTCTGGTTTCCCAAGCCTCATTTACTTCTTCAGGACTTGTTTGGCTTTTAAGTCAACGTTTGTTTTTGTTGAATAGTTAGTTGTTTATAGTGGAATGTGTTCATCCATTTAGTGTCTGGATGGTGTAGTACATCACCACTAGCGAGCGATAGTGTTTACTGCTACTCAAATGCTTCTACACTGCGTATTTACGATGTCGTTTCGTAGGTTGGATAGGTACGGGTACGGACGAGTAAGTGGGTGGAGGAGCGGCTACGCCTGTCGTCGTTGAACACATCTGTCGAAGCGCTTTGAGGAGTGTGTGGTGACGCGTGTAGCCTATTTTATGGGCTCAGTAAGCGGCATTTTCGTCAAAGACACGACGGCATGACCCTTCGACACTTTATGACGGATTTACGACATGGATCGGATATGGGATAGATCGTGATGGTTGCTGTTGTGCTTGACTCATATGCCTATTCTTTTATTGGTATGCTTTTAGCGCGACGTTAATTGCTCTGCTTCAGTAGAGGTCTTGAAAGACCTCTAGCCTATCCGTATGGAATTAAAGTATGGTTAGAGAAGAAAGTTGCACAAAGTGCTTAACAAACGTTGAGTTTCTGAGTGTTTTACTGAATGAGTTCACGAGGAAGTACAGGAATCGTTGGCAGTCCAGATGAAGTAATGACAAAGTCCTCGGTGCTAATCCGTTGCGTGGATTTGTGTGTATCTACTATACTCTACTGTTGTTCACGGATGTTAATGAAGAACTTGAGGTCTTGTGCTTTCCCAACAGAAGTGTAAACCATTTAGGAAACTCTGAAGGGTCGGATAGTAGGATACTAAAGGATACTTTACTAATTTGTTGGTAGTCCGAACTCGTGGTGAACGTTTTAAAAGAGATTATTTAAAACTGACCTACTGAAAACATTATTCTAAGCAACTTTTATAAATATGTCGAAGAAAATTTGATGACTAAAGTCTTGTCCGCATGACGATTTGAATGAGTTGTTTAGTCTTACTTATAGGTTGCTGTCGGAAACCGATCCATCTCGCATCACTTCCAACCCATCAGCATGTTCTGTTATTCCAGGGCTCAGCACAAAACAACGAGAAATATGCATTTATCATCCGGATACAATGAAATTTCTCGTAAGCTAGTGTTTCAGGTCTACTCACTTGAAATCTCGTAGGAAATGACATGGATAGTTGAGGGCTAGCTTCGATATCATTACTTTTTATTGTGTCATCATGTTTAAGATTAATGGCTTACGGATGGCGATCTCTCATTGTCAACATGCGTTTCGAGATCAAGTATGGAATTGTACGCTCACAGTGCCAGGTGTTGGAACGACACCATTGAAAAGTAAATGCTGACTTCTCTAATGCCGTTTCTGCAACTGATAGTCTGTTTATAAAACGTTTTTCCTACTTCAGCTAGCAATTTTTCGTAACTAAAAGTCCTCTTCACACAAACTACGAATGCGTTTTTTTTAGTTGCATCCAAGGAGTCCGCGTTCGTGTACGCCATTGCTTCGGCCGGTGTGAGTCACTCACTAGCGAAAGCGTGTGCAAAGGTGAACATTTTTTTTAAGCGAATCGATAGAAGTTTCAACTGCATATTTTTCGAAACTGATGGTTATGGTCTGTCTACGGGTTCTCCTAGTTCAAGCCTCTTTCAGGGGCTTATCGAAGATTGCGGTTGTGGACCCACACCGTCTTCATTATCAAATAAATTCGTTTGGTCTGGATGCTCAGACAATGTGCGGTATGGTAACTCGTTTGGTAGGAAATTCATAGACATGAATGACAAGGTTCACAGTGATGCAAGGTTGGATATGAAATCTTTTCATATTGTACTTAAGTACACGAAGGCTTTATAGAAACACAATTCAGTGACATCTGTGCTTTTATAGAGCTCTCATGAACCTTCATAACAACCGTGTAGGCCGTCGACTTCTCGCTGCTCAAATGGCAAAGGAGTGTAAATGTCATGGTGTGAGTGGCAGTTGCGTGACAAAGACGTGCTGGAAAGTGGTGCCAAAGTCAGTTCTGCACTTTTTCTAAGCGTAAAGACTGGATCATTATTTCCATATTGTTTACTTGGCGTTATAACTACCTATTTTGTGCGGACAAGTTGCTTGGCAGTTGCTTCGTAAATGTTAGTGCTTTCTCCAGAATGTTCTTTCCATATGGTCCTATACTCCTATTAATCTAATTTTACCGCTCAACTTGAGTTTGTTTTACGCTGTTTTACGCTTTTGTTAAAGTAATGCGTTACAGGGTTTTTATTTGTAGATTCGACGAATTCGCTCAACTGCTTAAGCACAAGTATGATATCGCTCAACAGGTGACTGTTGCTCCTCACGACATGTCGCTTATGATTCGGGAACCTGCGTTTGATGGAAAGCGTACGGAACGCTACCTCAAAGATAAAAGAGATAAACACAAGGTGAAGCCTAGAAGCTAAAAGTTTACTTTGCGTTAAGTTAATAATATTCAGGCTTCGAAAGGTGATTTAGTCTACCTTGACGCTTCGCCAAATTACTGTTCTCTGGATACTAGAGGTCGAAACTGTGGAACTAACTGCCACAAGATTTGCTGTGGAAAAGGCACGTATAGATTCTTCGTTCCATTTTTTTTTTGTTTTATGGCTAATATAACTGTGGTGTCAAGAGACATTTTTGTCCGAATGTCGGTAACTCTCATGACTTTTCAAATGTTGCGTCTCAAGTTTTCATATCCTTTTTTACTTGCTGCTTGTGTTTGGAATAGCTCCAGCTATGATGGAATAAAAACATATATAGTGGTGTGACAGAGCTGGATAGATAGCACGCGTGTGGCCCAGTGGTCGGAGGCGCCCTGCAAAGCACATATGGATTCCATCCCTGCGCCCATGGCTCACCAAGCCTTCAATCCCTCCGGGATCGGCAAATTGGTACCAAACTTATCTGGTAGGATAGCAACACTGGCTCAATACATCTGTAGGCCGGATGAATGGCGTACCCCTCAGGGATTGATCAACGCAGTCAGCTTTGGAGGTTTTATTGTGTCATAGGTTCATCTACTGAGAATGATACGTTGGTTAACGATTGTTTGGCTTTTAGTAAGGAATGGTTTGTCTGTTTTAAAACTTTGACCACTACTGTGATAATTTGCCGACGTAGTGATAATGACGGTTATACGGGCATATTTCTAGGCTGGCACACTGTGCGAGAAGTGGTCGATGAGCCTTGTCATTGTCGATTTATTTGGTGCTGTGATGTACAATGCGAAACATGTAAGAAAGTAATTGATAGGAATTTTTGTCGTTAGAGTCTTCAATATCTTCTGCACCTTCGTTGACTTTTCACAATTCATGGCGTTCATGATGTTCCTCTATGTCCACTTCATGTTGAAATTACCAAACAGATACCTATAGCGACTTAGTATAATTAAGGTTTTCTATGTGGAATATTTAAGTGCATAGAATTCACTCTTTGCCATGTGTCTACGATCTGATCTTGAATCTCGTCATTTTACTCACGTAGTTTGTACATATCAATATATCGAGTTTTTACATTAATAAACTATTTTAATAGGTTTCTCGCCACATAGCGCGTCCAGTAGTTCAGGATCATGATGTCTTATCCAATGTATCCGTAGATATACATAAAAGAGGCATGGATGTGAATAGTTTGGTTGCTACCAATATTGGAAATTCGCGCGTTGGTGAGGTCAATGAATACAATTCATTTGCACATCTGTCTGTTTTATTCCTGATGGGTCGTCTGCAGGATACTAAGAGTTTTGGAGACGTCACGTAGTGTGGCGTTAAACAACATACTGTAAGGCGTGGTCGTCTGGGTCTTTCAAGATCCGGCGTGGTTTTACAAGAGCCGAGAACTTACCACATCTGGCTCGCAACGGTAAATTACCGGCATTGCTTTTCATGGCTGTTTGAATACGAAATTGTGTAGACGATGCATAAATTTTGGAAGCGTCCAATGTCCAGTTTGTAACCAGCTTAGTACAAGGGTTGCCTTTCTAGCTTTGGTTGCCTGAACAGGACTTGTATCTGGGTGGCCATATTTACATGTGGGTGCCCACATTGTTTCTTTTCTTTGTTGTGAAAAACTCTGTATAGGTACTGAATTTCAATTCTCATTTAGTGTCGTTGCGGATTTTCTGGTTTTTTTTTTAATTTACGGCAATTTCTCTATTTCTAGAGTAAATAGGGAATCGAGAATATCGTATTATTTTAGAGGAGAGTTTGCCCTATTGTTCTAGGGCTGTGAAATATCTGCATATCTGCATGATTCACTATAGATTACTTTGGTCCGTATTACAAACGTGTTGCTTTTGGCCTTTGGAAGCGTTTTGTGACTCATGATGAATTTCTGTCCGTATTTTTTACATCCGCTTATTTTATTCGACGGCAGTGGGTCAGAGCGACTGGGATAAATCTATCAGTCAGATTACTGGTCACTAAACTCGTTAGTGGTAGGTATTTTCTGTATTTCTACATGCGGAGTAGAACTTTTGGCCTGAACTCACCACAAAATTTGTTCCGGACAAGCTGTCGAATGGTCATGAGAAGTGCAGCAAAAGAGCTCTAAGCGGCAAAATTTATGGCCGATAAGGAAATGCATCATACATTATACAGTAAGCCTATTTGTCCCTAAATTGGTGCACAATACATAATATGTTATGTCTCATGGCCAACGTATTAAATACGACTGTTTGACGACTATGGGACGCGTGTTGCATAGTGGTCGGAGGCGCCGTTCAATACACATAGGATCTATTTATTTATGTGATCTTATAAACTGATCTTCTTAAGCTGACGCGAGGTTGGTACAGATCTTCGTTGTCGTTGTCGTTGTCGTTGTTTCCCGAGTCCCGCACATAACATCACGGCTCTGAGGAAGGCGAAGTCGCCGAAACGTCAGCCATCGTTCGATAACATCAAAAACAACGACAACGACAACGACAACGACAACGAAGATCTGTACCAACCTCGCGTCAGCTTAAGAAGATCAGTTTATAAGATCACATAAATAGATATATCAACTATCTATGCCGAGGTTCATAGAAAGTCGGTCTTTCGAGTTATTAAGAGATGTTCACACATAGGATCGATCCCGGCGCCCCAGCCACAGCAAGCCTACTTGTCTGAGAGGATAGCGGCGCTGGCTTGATGTATCGGTAGGCCATCGTGAGTCAGTGTACAGGCAAGATATACATTCAGTCACCTCCAACGATGCCTATTGAAGTCGAATGCATGGTGCACACTTGGAGATTGGTGAACGCCGATAGCCTTATCCTTTTCTTGTTTACTTATTTGACAAGTTTGCGAGCAATGCATTAAAGTCGTTGGATTGATCACTGTATGCCATAAGTGCGAAACGTTGCTATGCTTCTTAACTCTTATTGCGTTTTAAGTCAAGAGCTTTTAGTTTGGTTAACACGGAAATCGATGTAATTGTTGGAAAAACATCGAACAATGTCTCCGTATCACGATCATAGCCTAATTTTTGGTGCATAATTTCGCAACAAGGACGGCGATTATGACGTCCAGCACCTTTGACGAGATGTACAAGAGCAGGTCAAAAACTACATCAAGTCGGCGCTTTCTTGGTAAGTACGTATAACCTACAAGATGAAGGTAAACAGTGATGTTTTTTACTCCCTGTACCTCCCTTTATTGACGATGTGACCTTCATCGAACCGAAAGTTTATTAATCGGAACAGATACCGAGTGACATCAGTCATGAATATGCACAACTTAAACTGGTGAAGAAAATTATAGCATCGATCAGCTTCGTTCCTTATGCAAATTTTCTAGGAATAAAGTTCGAGTAGTCAGCAAACGATCGTAAGTTAAAGCGCAGGAGGTTGTGATCTGAATATGAAGGAAAGAGAGTTTACAAGTACTTGAAGGGGAAAGTAATAAGGAAGAAAAAAAGGATCATCCAATCTGTGTTATGCTTCTCCTACTGTACTGATGTCATTGTCATTTGTCTCAGAATTTCAAGAAATACACAAGTCGACGGATGATGTGCTCGGAATTATCGGCTATTGAAGGGTCTACATGAGCAATATGTCGGGTTAGGCGATAAACAAAAGCACTTTGAATTCTATTACCAGCAACATTGATTGATTGGGAACTATCGCTTGAAGCACTCACTTGGGTTAGAGTCGTTCACTGTGAGAACCAGTGAACAACGACCTTTGCTAAATAAATTTCAATGCATGGCCAGCTTGCAAGCGGAATCATACTGATATGTTCAGATTTCTTTCAGGATGTCGATGAATCCGTTCTTTTCTCTTTCTGCACCGAGTTGTATTGAATTTTTCTTGCCCAAAACAGTATCGACAGGACACATTTCGGACGTACGTTCAAATGGTTCAGTCAACGGTGGGCAGGTGGTACGGGTATGCGATTGTTCCCATAAGTTTTGAAGCCGCTTTTCCACCACTGAAATGAAGAATTAGTCAAGCGCACTTCATCGCAAGGTCAATGTACGTAGGTCGACCGAAATTTAAATATTCTAATAATCAAGTGACAAATTGGCGTGTAAAATTCTCTCTCTCACTTGTATCCCCCACGATCATCGAATGCTTTGCGCGAAAATCTGCATTCGTTTTTGCCGTGCTTTTTATTTGTACTATGTTCGACGGGTTACGGTACTACTATTGGGGCACAACGCACCTATGATTAGCTTATCAGGCCCTTTCAGAGCAAATGTGGCTTGTTTATTTGATGCGGACCCGAATTCCCATGTAGATGTCATCCATTTAATCACACCTTTTGGTTGAACCAGCGTGCGTGACAGAAATTGCAAATGCGAATCCACCCCAATACATTCTTGCATGAATATTTCTCCTCATTTGCGGAAACTGTGGTCGGATCCTGTGTAATACAGACAAAGGCCCATCCATTTAATGCACTTCTACCCAAGAGTGCGCAGATGTTACACTATTTCTTCTGGTCCTCATTTAGCCGTTAAGTGCGCTATTCTGGAACCCGCCACAGATTCCACATTTGAAAGATCATCTGTTGCCTAATAGTGATATAGTTCTCTTCTTCAAGGAGCTATGGTCACAGTGTTCTTACCAACCGTATGCTTTGTTATGAAAATTCGAACTTAATCACATTCAGCAGTTTCCAATAATAATCTTCCTTATGACCATAATGGTGCTGAGATAATTGCAAAACTCCGGACCGTTGGTGTCTGCAGCGGGGACCGAACATGCTATTACCTTTTCCGATGGCTAACACTTCACCACCACACCATACGAGATTCACGTAATACCTAAAAAATTGGAGAAATTGCGATTTATACCACAGCTTCAGCTTAATTGGGTCCAATGCCCATTTATGCTCCCCACATCAGTTCCCTCAACTCAAGCATCAACAGTCCGGAGTTTCGAAAATATCACAGCACCATTATGGTTAAATTTCACATAATGCCCTGCCGTCAAAAAAAGTACGTAATAGATAAAAAAGTGGTGAAATATTCTGTATGATTGAACTGACGCGAGATTGGTATAGAAACTATTATTCGGCTGTGGTTTCCGCTCCTTCGCCTTCCTCGGACCCGGATTAACTCGGGTGGATGATCCACAGCTGGTCGCTGTCGCACTGAGTCGAGTCCAGAGTATTGTCCACCTAGTTTCCTAAAGATTTTAACAAAAAAAAATATTTATAGTCGCAATGTTGAGGATATCGTCAGCTGCATGTCGATTGGAAAGTTTTACGACCAATTATGATTTTGTCTTCCACTGGCATTTATTGCGTAAGCTGTACCTGAGGATATTTCACACCACATTGTTTTCTCTTGACATACTCGTTGTTTCTTCATACCATATCGAGTATCCCGTCCGCAGCATGTTTATTTTACGTTTTCAGATCACTTCAATATAATTGATCTACTAGTATTTAGTCTCCTATTTTTCAAATCGTCGGAAATCTTATTGGGTAACGAATGATTATCGTACATACACCCTATCGGCAGGCCATTTTTCTTAACACATACGTGACGACGTGATCTCCATAGGAGTCATTTGCTTAAGGATAGAGTAGCCGGCACAACCTCTTTACAGGTCACTTTGTTTCCAATGGTTTACTTTGGCGAAGAGAACTTCTCGAGAACAATTACTAACACTGTGAATACCACCATTTAAAACACTCAACACATAGAGCGATAGACCAAAGTCTCTTCTATGAAGGATAAAAGATAAAGTTCTCCGCGTTGATCTGTTCCTGAGGGATGCACCATGCATTCAACTTCATTAAGAATCGCTGGAGGTGACTGAATGCATATCTGTTCTTTATCATGAATCTCGGCTGCCTACCAATGTATGTAGCCAGTTCTGCTATACTCCCAGACAAGTCTGGCACTAATTTGCTGATCCCGGAGGGATGGAAAGCTTGGTGGGTGTGGGTCACGTGGATCGACCCCATGTGTATTGCAAGACACCTCCGACCACTGATCTGTACGCACCCCATCAGTCTATTGTAAAAAAAATAGCTCTTGGCGTTGATTAATCCCTGAGGGATGCCCCCGTGCATTCAACTTCATTAAGAATAGTTGGAGGTGACTGAATGCATATCTGGCCTTTATAATGACTCGCGGTGGCCTACTGATGCATCGAGCCAGTGCTGCTACCCTCTCAGATAGGTCTGGCACCAATTTGCTAACCCCGGAGGGATGGAAGGCTTGGAGGGGGGAGGGGAGGAGGATCGATTCCACGTGTGTGCCGCAGTGGCGCTTCCAACCACTGCGCCACACGAGCCCTCAGTTGTATAATATTATACTTACTTGATACTTGAATGGCCCGTCCTTACTGGTTGTGCTGGTCTCGGCATAATATCGATTTTTCGGAGATTTGTTGGTTAAGCCATTATGGTTCCCTGGAGTTTCGAGGTTACCCTGGCCAAAGTCTGCTCCAGGTCTTCACCACCACGGGCAGTCGCGGCCTTTGTGGATCAGAAGGAGATTTGCCACCATGCGACTTTTATACCAGAACGGTGGTGGATTCTGGTATTGGTTTACTCTTTAGCTATGCTTCCTAATGGAAACGCCGGACTCCTTCTCAGCTTGGGAGACCCTGCCATGGAATGAATACCCCACTGTACATCGCAGTCCGACACCCTGGAACATCTCCCAGCCACGATGAGGCGGTAAACCGTTGGGAAGTATGGCTGGGGTGGAACGTTCGCTATGGAATCGGCGACGTTTCGGCAATCTCAACGTTATGTTCGGCGTTTGGTCTGTGCTCAGGCGTCGCCAAATAATTGTATTGAATATTTCGAAAAGTCGTTGGTGGTCTGTGTATAATGAAAAAGATGGCGGCAGCGAAACATGTCCGATGCATATAGGCCGCGACTGTTCGGATTGTCTTCGATGAGAGACGGTTGTGACAAGCGGCAATCATCGCCAGACCCGTGTGCTTATATAATACTGTAATATTCTCAACCCATCAACTCTTCTGGTTGTCCAAATATTATCGCCTATTCTCAACCTTTTTACTTACTTCTGTAATGCTGAGGTATTTGCAAAACTCCGGACCGCAGGTGTCTGCGGTGAGGAACGAACGCGCTATTGTCCTTTCCGGGGAGTAAAGTGTTCACCACCACACCATGCTGGTTCTTCGTTTCACCTGTCGCTCAGCCTAACTGGGTTCAATGCCGATTTGGGCTCTCCAGATCAATCCCGTTGACGGGTGATTGCTGATGGCAAGTGATTGATAGAACTAGCTGAGAGACAGGCGAAACGAAGGACCCGAATGGTATGGTTGTGAATGCGTTACCTCCCAGAAAGGACAATAGCGCGTTCGTTCCCTACCGCAGACACCTGCGGTTCGGAGTTTTGCAAACATCTCAGCGTTATATAAATTATCGTCTATTGTCGAAAAGCCAACAGGTCCGTAAAGACATAAAATTAGGCGTTGTCCGTTGCGACTAATCAAAAAGCAAGGATTTTGAGGCACGAGAAAAATTCGGAATCTCAAATGGGCTTAGAAGCTGCGATTTCCTTTGCCGTGGCTGTAACAACCACACCAACAGAGACCGCTGCTTTGCCTTTCTCTTAGCCATATTTTTACTGTACCAGTGATATCGTCAACCACCCGTCAAGGGTAATGAAACTTGGTGGATGGCACGAGCTGTTGGGGTATTATCGGGTTGCAAACCTAACCGAGGTGCCGGATTTTGCTCGTATCACGGTGTTCTTTCGATTGAGTTTCAAATAGTACCCTGTCATTAAAAAAGAACAGGCAGTAAATAAAAGTCAAGGCAAAAAAGTAGTGCGTTTTGAATGTTTTTTGCAGCCTCTTTTCTTTTTGAAATGTGGCATAATTTTCTGATATTTTCATATTGTCAACCTTTTTGCAGCGGCAAAAATCGATCAACAATTGAGACTGATTCCAGAAAAATATTTATTATTGAAAAACAGTTATAAAGTCATCAAAGAACTCATTGTGACTCACCAATAGAATGATTTAGTGTTAAACAGTATTCGCAAAATAATATCAAGCAGTAGAAGAGGCTATGTGTGTTGTTGGTGTTCTTTGTGCTGACCCAACGTTTCAGACTCCCCATGCTTTTGATATGACATCCTGATAGTTGTAGACACCGTCGGCACCAGTACTCCTCAAAGACAGATTAGCATTGATTGACGATTGTCGTTCTGCTCGATGTTTTCGGCATAGATGGATAGTGAGTAGTGGGAGAAGAAACGTGAATAATGGTATCAGCTGAAAAATTAAAGAAGTACTACCACCGATGAAATATGAATCCCTATTCATTTTCCTTTTTCTTGCAGCGAAAAAAATCATTTTGAATATCTCTCTGAAAGAGATCTGACAAGAGTGTTCCAATGCTACATCGATTATATCAAACGAATATTTAAGCTCTAGATTTAATGACAATGAATCGATATAATTTTTGAGAAAACAAAATCGCATGAGGACAACCATATCTGTGTTAGACCGCCGTCCTTACCATTGGCGTCTTTAACCGCGTAGGTCAGCAAGCTAATGTTATAAACTTGTGAAGTAATGTATTATTAAAGTAGACATGAAAAGCAGCAAAGAACATTAGCATAGAAATGATCCCGGCATTAGAATGTTTCGTTACTTTTCAGAGTAACAAGACTCAACAAAATGTTAGATGGTCATATATATATATATATATATATATATATATATATATTTATATTTATATCAATACCAAAACGATTGGCGCCTTTATTGAAAAAACGTCGTTCCTATTATATGAAGTATTACTGTGATGAATAGCACCTAGTTATTTACATTTTTTATTTCATTTTACTTGACCCATCTTTACATCTACCTCCCGGATCGCTGTTCCTCCTATGTTCGAATCGTTTCCTCCAAGCTACCATTCACGAGCTTCATCGAGCTTTTAGGCGTGAGGTCGGCTGCTGCTTGAGGATCTCCGTCTTTGTTAAGAATGTCGTTGGATTCCGATCGAGTTCATTCATCCTGGAAACTTCGGGTAGGGGTGCTGGAGTGCTCTCACATAGCTTGGAGGGAATGAGTTCATTTTGGATAAGTCTACTTATTCCCAATTTCCCGACGATGAGGGGCCTGGTGAGTTTGGGGCTAGGTCTAACCATTACCATGCGCGTGATGAACGGCAACGGAGTCCTAAACTACATTAAAATATTACAACCGATAGTTCTTTTGTGTCGTATTTCAACAGATTTTAGAATTTTCCTCGCGTTCAATAAAATCAATAGGTGTTATTTGTATTGTTACCATATCGCATCCAACCATTCGTCACCAAATTATCTATGACTTGATCTCTAAGCTTTACACGTTTGTGACAGCTGTCGGCATTAATACT